TTTATTTAAATTATTCTTTTGCAGGATTACTGGGATTGTTTGACTCCTAGGAAGGTATTAATATTAGCCAATTAGGGGAAGGATCTGAGTCCCTGAAGGAAACAGGGCAGAGCTATAGGGAAGAAAAAAAAAGACGACCTCAATTTAGAAGCTGTCAAAATTGAAAGCTCCCACATTTTGTTCTTTCATATTTTGGTTGCTTTGATTAAGAGGGAAAACTCACTGCAACTGGCCAAGTTAAGGCCAAAAATCCAAGAAGAAAGAAAGATAAAAGTGAAGAGGGGCCAAGTATGCTCAAAACCCAGTAGAGGGTACTGGCAGGGTTACAAAACCCGGTAAAAAAAGTAACTGTGAAAAAAATGGAGTCTGTAAGACTCCGATAGCACATGTTAAAAGATAACACTTAGTTGGTGTAAGGCTGGGGTGCAAGGGGAGATTGGAGCCCCAATAGGAACAAGTGTCATGCCTTAATAATAAGACTCATGCCATTATACCACCTCCCAAAGGAAGAAAAAAATCCATCAAGTCGTGGTAGGAAAGAAACTGGGCCATGGCTAGAGTCTAATCTATTAAAGCTGGGACATACTGATTAACAACGTACAAGGATAAGTCATCAGGATGTAGCGGGCCACACCCTTATGCTGGGCCCCTTGACACGTGCCATTTTCCTTCCCATTGGAGCTGAGCCATGCCCCCTTCCTCCATCAGCAGGGCTGGGCCATACCCCTTTCCCTCTTTCTAGGGCCAGGTTGGGTCCTGACCATGCCCCCTTCTCTCTCCCTAGGGCTGGGTCAAGCTCCTGTCCCCTGTGGGGTTGCACTAGGGCCAGCCTGCCACACACCCCCTTCCATGCGGCCAGATGGTACCTGCTATGCCTGTCTGGGTGGCAGATTGGGAATACCAGCTTGCAGACAGACTAGGCACTGCCAGTCTGGCCTGCCAAGCCAAAGGGTTGAGAACCAGTGGTCTATGATGATTAATGCTGTTATACCAATGGAGCTATACTGCTTCTGGCTCCAGAGTGAGCATTTGCAGAATTAGTTTAAGTATTACAGCATGCTGCTACCTTATAATGCATGTTTCCCAGTTCTTTAATGATTCTCTTCTTGGAATCCTTTCTGATTTCTCAAACATCCTTCTTGGAGCATGTGCACAGTATTCCAGTAGCAGTCATCTGATTATCAAATACAGAGGGAACCTACCCTTCCTGATCACACTTCTAGGTTCAGTGATACCACAGTACTTTTAGCTATGGTAACACACTGGAAGCTTATGTTGGTCTGACTGTTACAACATCTGAAAAACTTTAATAAAAAGCCTGTTCAAGGCCACACATACCTTTCCTCTCTGGTCTGCTCACTCAGGAGCTCTGGGTACTCAAATAGTAGGTAATGTTTTTGGAAGAAGTGGATGTGTGCTCATGAAAAATAGATCCCAAGAGCTTGCATTGCTTTTCAGATGCTTGTATTTTCCATTAGTTCTGTGTGCAGATAAGTAGCTGGTCACAGAACTAGAATTGCATAACATTCCTTCTTACTGCAATGACAAAGCAGTAGACCATTTGGGACTCAAACAAGGATTATCCCAATGAAATCTAACACTAAGAAGACTTTCCATGGCACAATAAAAGAAATTGTCCAAACTGAAATTCTGTAATCCTGTAACACTGGAAAAAGTCAAGTGTTGTTACCCATATTATTACCCTACCTACCTCCAAATCGGGAATTACAGTCTTCCAAGCACAGCTCCTAGAAATGGCCCATGGTCAAATCCCCTCTTGTGCAAAGGACAAGTACTATATGTTAGGTAAGAATTTATAAGATGGCATTCTCTCCCTGTCTCCCACCTCCTGCTGCTCCAGTCACAGGGTACCACTGTCTTTGAAGCAGCTGGCACGCTCCCCTTTCCATAACTCCCAGAACACTTACATCTATCTTATCAGGCACCATACCTCAATCATCCCACTCCCAGAAACAGGTTTAAATGCTAAAATTAAGCAGCCAACACTTAGTACCAGACTGACAGGGTAACCAAACTTCTATTCAACTGCATTTTTGACCTATTTAACTTCCCATTTATACTATCCAGGGGGATTGAACTACTGCATCTGTAGCAGCATTTTAATCCTAACCTGAATTTGTCCTTATATTAATAATGACTCCACTGGGGCAAGAATTCTCTCATGTTAATGGAAAATACATGGCAAGTACAACTGACTACAAAAAAGCAGAGATACATGATCAGGTCAGATTCTGATCTGCCATGGCAGTGCTAATCAGGGGTGGCTCCAGTGATACTAATTGAATTATTATGGGTTTACAGCTTTGTCACTGAGTTTACAATTTGGCCAATGACTTCAAAATTGTTGGGAAAGAATAATGGTAGGCCTGAATCACCAGGAGTCTGGCATGCTTAGTGGTATGCAAATTACTGGTTATTTTCATTAGCCAAAGTGTTTGGAAATTTGTAAGACAGACACAAGCAAAGATAACAGTGCTTTTTTATTTTTATACACATGTAATTTCTGGGCATACCATGTTACTTCTTATAACAGGATTGTAATTTTGGGAATGGTATTGTTAGAAATGCTGAGTTGTCTTGGTTGATACAGTGATAACATTAGCATGACGGTACTTGGGAGAAACTCATAATGTAACTATTTAACATGCACTCTACAAACCTAAAGTATCACAAAGCACAAGACCGTCTGCTTTAGCATGTGATCTTCTCCTCTGTTTCCTACATCTTAGCCAAAACCACATAAAGTGCTGGGTTAAACAGCCACTTAAAGTAATATGCATTGCCTGGTGGGAAAGGACATCTGTGGCTTAGCTAATAATCCTGATTTCATACTGTGTAGGAGAAAAGTTTGACTCATCAGCAAGACTGAGTGCAAAACGTTTTACAGCAAGTCGAGAACATTTGTTTTGCAAGTTGCTGCCTTGGTCAAATGACACTGAATTTTTAGTTCTTAAAACAGCTGACAAGTGGCAAAGTTGATTAGAATCGTGTATTAAAAGACTAATTATGTAACCTCTGTGTAATGGATGATTATTTGTCAAAGCACAGACAGCAGTCTAATCCACAATTATTAAGCTTTAGTTGGACATTCAAGACATGAGCTCATTAATAGCTGCAATGAGATAACATTCAGATTCAGTTTGGAAAGATAAGTAGGCTGCCAAATGAAACACATTTGGCCGATGACCTTCCCACCTTAGAAAGGCATTGGCCTTCCAGTTAAACTGCCTCCCCCCCCCCCCCCAACCTAGTTTAACACCAGTATAAAGATTTTGTTTCATGGTTTCTCATATAGGAGTAAACCAAAGGATACAATGAATACTCTAATCTCAGTAGTCTTCTCTGTAACATTTCACCAACTTCTAAAACCAAAGGGTTAGGATTCTGGTTCTTACTTGATTTGTCCAGATGTCTAGGCATCTAAACTATCAACAGGATAACTACCATCTTCTAACAAGGTTTTAGATAATAGACTAAGGTTGAGGACAAATTTTGGATTGGCCATTTCTAAAAGAAATCAATTTTCTTCTAATTAAAATGCATGCTGAGTAGATCCACATGCAATGCTTGATTAAGGTATATACTTGGTGCTTGAGTGGTGACAGTTTAATTCTTGGGTTTTTTCTATATCTACAAAGGAGCCTGGAGTCTTCTTCCTAAACATTTACATCTGGAGGTGCTTGTTAATAAATTGTTAACATAAGAATTCTAAATAAAACTTCCTATGAAGTGAATGTGAACCTTTTTCCCAGGTGCCTGGATAACTACACTTGATTAAAGACATGAAGTCATAAGGGCTAGAACCAAGGGCTTAGACAGACATTCAATTCTCCAGGGAGAGTCCCTGCTCTCTGTGGAGAAACCATGAGTGTACAAGGGTTTGTAATTTTTCTCCCAGTATAAAAGTGACTACTTGGGGAAAAATATAACTTGGAAACACCTCAAATAAAATGCATCCCTGAGAGAATATCTTTCAGGAGATGGAACTTTTGTACAGGAAGCAACTGCAGAGCTGACCTCCTTAATCCCAGTGTGCTTTGCTTCTCTCTTCTCCTTCCTCCCACAGAGAATGGAGAGTGTGTCAGGCTCAGTGAAGCAGAACAGATTCCCTGAGTACTTCAGACTGGAAAATCCCAAGGGGTGTTTTCTGCTCCAGGCTTGTTCCCTGTCTGACTCACACTGCAGCACTTGGGTACAGGGAATCATACAGGGGAGGGAAAAGCCTGGAAGATTCTTCTGTGCTTGGCACAGACCTTGCCTCCATCTTCCCTAACCCTGAAGATCCCTGCCTACATTCACTTAAAAAATAAAAGTCTGAAGAGCTTTCTGGGCTGCATGCTCCAGGGACTCTTGGTAGCTCAGTATCCACACTGCGGGATCTCTGCTTCTCTGTCTGCACTTCTGTACAGATCAGTTTTGCTCTCAGGAAAAGAAACTTGGGAGAGTTATTCTGGATGATTTGAATGTGTGTATGCAGCCCAATAAAAGAAGTTAGGTGCCTACAATTTAGTTACCATAAGGCCTAAGTTTCAGGCACCTGGTTCCAAAATTGAAATCCAAAACCTGAAGTTAGGCACCCAATATAGGCATCAATGAATAGCCCTCAAACCCAAGCCATATACAGAGCTGGGAGCCACCTAGACCTAGCCAATAAGAAATTTTAGGCATGCTTTTGAAATGTGGCCCCTCTCCAGAATGCTGCATCCCTGAATTAGGGCTGCAAGGAGAGGGGCTTTGATTTGGTTGGGATCCACAGCCTGGAATCTTTCTCTAAATACCTATAACTAGGGATCTACTGAACTTCAGGAGGTGGCTGGCCAATTTCATGTGCAGATCCTGGGGCCAGTGGCTATTTTAATGGACTAAGTTCAGTGGGGCTCTCCCCTCTGCCTTCCCTTGCCATACTTCAAAACTACAGGGCTCCCCACACACTTTTCTCTGCTTACCAGTAAATTTGTGTTTTGGGGTTTTTTTTCCAGTGAGCCCGTCAAAAGCACGAAGCCCACGCTTTTTCACAGTGCCCATCCAAAATCGTGGTTTCCATGAAAATCGTGCATTCACAATTTCGGTAAGTCCCTACCTATAACCAACCATTCTTCAAAGACTAGAGAAGGATTTAAAAAAAAACAACCCCAAAAGTGGAGAAGATGGTCATGGTGCCAACCTCTCAAAATAGGCCAGAGCACTCATCCAGAAAGTGAAAGATTCAGGATATCTCCATCCTTCCTGTTGATGCCATACCACTGTGCAGTAAAGATTTAAGATTCTTAGACTAGAAACACAAAGGGAAAAGAGCATGTAGCTTAGTTTTTAAAGGAGTTAGCTAAGAACAGGGAGTCCTGGGCACCAAACCCTGCTCCCAGAAATGTTTCTGTATGTGTTTGATACAATACAGAAGAAAAATAGGCAACGAGTGATGCACTCCTGTTCTCACTCACTCTCACTGCCCAAAGAAGTATGAATTCTTTGTAGCACCATTTCAGTAGGAAGGATGGAGGGTGCTGCCATCAAAACTAATCTAAGTCTAGTGGTTAAGTCACTTCCTAGGAGCTGAAACCCTTTTTAGGATGAAGAGAGCTCTGAAGCCATGTCTTCTACTTCCTGGATGACTGTGTCTTCTAATCATTGTGCTTTAGGTAGAAAGAGCTCAGTCATGTTGATTTGCATTAGATGTACTTAGAGAGTGCCTACCAAACTGGGGCCCTCAAAAGCCATATGCAAAGAATCACAAACAGGATTAGACATAAGACACATGCCAAAGCCACTCAGCCTGGAGCAGCTTTGAACATTTAGAGAAACAAGACTCTGGGCACCTAAGGAACTTCAGTTTAAAAAAAAAAGAGGCACCTTATGTAGTGAATGTAGGTGTCTCTAGGGTTAAGCCACTACTGAGTGGAGATTTTTGGGTCACATTTTTGGTCTTACATCCTCAGTTTCTCCTAAGTTCTACTTCAGATGCCCAAATCCTTTCCTGGAACTCATCCATGTTAACTTTAAGAAGGTAGGGTGTTCCAATTCAAACAAGAATAGACCAAAAAATTAAGGCTATAGCCATACAGCACAAGCATTAGTGTGGTGCTGCATGTGGGCTGGTAAGCTGTGTTTCATGGCTGTACTGTTTCAAGTTCTGGTGCAAGCACATAAAGAGTCTCTCTCCATGGTTCTGCCTTATTTTTCTTTTTTTGCTGATATGGATCAGGAATAATTCTTCTTAAATCAAGGTTATGCAAGTGTAAACAACATGAGTAAGCATGCAGGCATTATAAATGTAGATAGATATCTACTGGCATTTTCAAAATTGCCTAAGCAGGGCTCACCCATCCCTCACAATACATGTATTGAACCTATTGTTTGAGCACATCAGGACAGCTGGAGGGAAGAGGACTAAACAATTTTCAGCTTCTAAAACTTGAGTGCATCCAAAGTCAAAACACAGCTCTCAAGGTTATTTTATACATTTTGTTTCGGTGCAGCACTTATGAATCTAGTATATCCCTAATCAAACCCCTTCCCCCCTGCCCTCCTTCCCACAAATCTAACCTAGAAAACTCTAGATGAGCACACCAGACAGCACCAAAAAGCCATGTCTTTTTAACAGTGGTAGTGAGGTTATATGGGCATTCAACTGACTCTCTAAACTTCTCTGCTCTGTAACATCTCTTCAGATACCTTCTTGATTGATGAAAGCTATCCAACTGGCTTTGAAGGAAAAGAGCTAACATTTCTGAACAACTCACTGGACCCAGACAAGACATTTAACATTATACAAATGTAAACCTAACAGACAATGCAAGTAAATAAAAATAACGGCATTTAGTTCTTGTACTAGTCTAATGTAGCCTAGACATCTCAGTGTGAGCTCACAAGAGGAAAACTAATAATAAAGCAAAGCAGCTAGGGATATTAGGGGTGTGTGAAGTGGGCCCTATTCAATTTGGATTCGGCCCGAATGAAGGACAGTGATTGATTTGTTGATTTGGATCACTGTTCCTGATTCGATTTGGCTGAATTCGAATCTAAAGATTCGATGCTGATTCAGATCATCAGCTATTCAGACACAGACACAGCTTTAAATGGTTTTTCTACATACTTTGAGGTACCAGTGTGGCATGTGAATGCTGCAACGCTGGGGTGGATGGAGCATCCCACAGGAGTGCGGGGTTGGGGGGGGCCTCCACGTGCTTGGCGGCAAACCCAGAAGTGGATCGGATATACTTCTGGTCCACTTCCAGGTCCGCTGGGGAGCATGTGGGGGGCCACCCCAGCACACCCCTGGCTCAGCGATCGGCCACGGGGAAACGCCGGGTGCCCCCCCAGACCCAGAAGGCACCAGTTGCTGAGCTGGGGGGACCCCCCAGTGCACTCCCTGGTGGACCCGAAAATGGACCACAAGTGCTCCCTGTCCAGTCCTGCAGGTGGAAAGGGGAATTGCCTACCACCAGTATCCCTGGACCAACTCAGCCCAGCCTGGCACCTTGCACAGCTGCTCCTTGTAACTGGAGCCCCTGGGGCTGACAGGAGAAATGCCATGGAGGGGGAGGAAGTGGTGACCCACCTGCTACCTCTGAGCCCAGCACCCTGCACAGCTGCTTCCTGTAGCCCCCAACTGGAGCGGGGCAGGAGCAAACTGGGACTTTCCCCACCACTGGTTAGCAGGGTACAGTGGCAGCAGGCAGGCACCCCACTTTCTTACCTGCTCCCTGCACGGTCCTCCCTCAGGTATGCCCCACTAGCCTGGGGCTCCAGTTGCACCTTGGACTCCACAGGGGACCAAGGCATCAGGTGTGCAAGGAACTAGAACCAGAGGTATGTGATCTACATTGTGGAAGAGGGGTGCAACTGCACCACTGCACACACCATAGATCTGCCCTTGTTGTAGTTAGACAAATCTACGTATCATATTATATTTGTTTCTGTCTTCTCTTGCTGTCTCAATACTAATGCATGCAACCTCCATAAAAAGTACAAACCATTCCTTACCCTTCTCTCCTACTGGCAGCAGCTCCGAGTTGAGCAACACATAACCCTATTTCAATGGCCCAAAAGCTCATATGAAATTAAGTAGCGACACTTGACTTTCCTGCACTAGCTCCTTTATGAGAACATTATATATTCTAGGCTCCATGTCTGTGTATTTTTTTTGGCACCTATCACAGGATGGTAGGGTGCTCTCTTGGCCTTCCCACCCTGGACCTCATCTTGGGTAAAGCCTGCCTGCATTCCAGTGCCTGCCACGTGGTTTTGGTTCAGATGAGATGGTGATTCAGGAAGGGAGCCTGGGCACGAGGATGTTACCTTGAAGCTCAGCTGTCCCTCTCAATCTGTAGTCCCCTTATTCCTCTAGTCCGAACCATGGTCTGTGAGCTTTGTGGTACCCGTGTCCTTGGTGTTCTTGTCTCTACCCGCAGGACCTTGCTGTGCCCTGCCTCTCTAGATGGGCCCTGTCCCAGTTGCCTATTGGACTTCTGCCCTCTTGCTCCATATTCCTTAACTATCAGCCATTTTCTTACTTTGTAGCTGAGCCCACCTGAGCTCCTGTGGGCACCTCCTTTGTTATCACTTTTTAGTCCCCCCCAATCCTCTGGGAAGTATATTAAAAACAGGCCCTTCTTGTCCTCTAACTGAAGAAAAGATACTCCCCTTTTTGCCTGGGACAATTAAGGCACACAGTCACCTTAACACTGAGATCTTCCCAGGCCTTTCCCTGCCTGCCCTGCTTAGGTACTCTTAAGTCTCTCTGGGCAAGTCCACACATGCAGGCACATGCGCTTGCAGCATCTCAGATAGGAGTGGCACAAATTTATGCCAGGGATTTTTGCCTCAGTGCACGTGCCTGGACATGCATGTTGGTGTGGGGCAAGTTATGCCACTTGGGGCAAAATGACCCTGCCTGGCTCCTCCTGGATCTGCAGCCAGATGCCAGAGCGTCTCTGGAGGTCCGAGCCCCAGCTTGACCCAGGACATGCTGGGGAACTGTGCCCTGCCCCCGCTTTTTTCTGGGGTGTTTTTTTTTTCATACATGAAAATCCAGGGATCAAATTTAGAGCCCATGCTGCAAATATGCAGTGCGGGGAACAAGTTTTCATTCTCAGAGTGCCTCTTGCAGCATCTCAAACTGGTTTAAGATGCCGCAAGAGGCACATGCACACTTGTCCGGAGGTGCCCTCTGTTGTCTTCTCAGCAGCTCCCTCCCTGCAGAAGGGGCTCTCTTAATCTGGCAGTTCTTTCCCTTCCCTTCCTTCTGGTATCTATTTTATTAGCCCTGGGGCAACTGCTAATCTGTCTGCCCAGGTGTCCCTCCTTAACCAGGTGGCCCACAGGGCTGTTTCCCACTCCCTGTTTGTTAATCCTAATGGTAACCTGCCAAGCAGGCTTGTTTACTTGGCAGGCCTCTTTTCAGGGCTCCCCTCCTCATACTCTGCCCCCTACCACAGCACCAGTCTTGATAGACCAGTGATTGTCAACCAAGGTGCACCTTGAGAGTCTTTCAAAGGGTGCCACAAGGTGTTATGCAGTATTAGTACTGTTACATATGCAAACATGAATCACAAGATAAACCCAGAGATTTCAAATAGGAATCCATATTGTTAAAAACATTCTGACCTGTTGTGGTCTTCCTGAATTCGTTGCAACAGAAGAATTGGGCTGTTATTTTTCTGTAGTCAAAAACCAAGTGAAAACACGGAGCTGGCATTTTCCAAGGGGTGCCAAAAGGTTGAGAACCAGCCTGTCTGAGGTTCATGGGGCTCTCAAATCCTAATCTATGTATTCTCTTAATACCCTTGTGAGGTAGGGAATTTGAATGACCTCAGTCGTACTGATGTGGAATAGAATTGTTGCAAGCTTTAACAGCCCCTGGGTCAAATGAGAAGTCTTTGGCCAAGCAACACAATAAACACAAATCACCCTGAGCTTTAACAACTGAATCATCTTTCTTTTGATTTGGAGGAGGCACAGCATGCTAGAAGAGTGAGGCAGAGCTGGATGACTGCCATCCTATCCAACATCAACCCCCAGCAAGCTCAGGAAAAAAATAATGTGGTGGTTGTTATGATGAAATACCATTGCTTAGAATGAAACACATCCACACTACCTTGCAGATTTGCACCACAGCATGCATAGATTCTTAGGGGCTGAGGGGCCAAGAGGGAACTGGAAGACACATGGCTGTACAGAAAGGACAGGGTGGGGAAAAAAGGGGGAGGGGTTGCGCTCTATGTCAATGAGCAATATACGTCAACCCTCATCAAGACGGAATCCAAGGATGAGGAAGTAGGATTGTGGGTTAGGCTACATGGGGG